ATCAGGTGTGATGATGATTGCTTGTGTTGCAGTCGAAACGTCGTGAGAATTTTTATTGTTCTATATTTGTATTATTATTTATTTTATTATTTCCCTTCTACGTGACTTTACCGAACGAACCAAGAATATGTAGTGACATAGTTCTGACTGCTGTCCAGCATCGACAACTGCGATGGACAGTTAGCACACACGCCATTGAGCATATACACGGGTGTGCCGGCAGGGCGGAGGAACTGGGGCAAGCGTCACGGAAGACCTCATCGGGAAGCCCAGGAACCTGCTAGTGGGTTCGAGAAGGGAGGCGCGGCCAGGGTGGAGCCAGCCTACGCCAAGTAGCATAAAAGCAGCAGAGAGCGGGAGCTCCGGGCTGCCGGTTCTGGGAGTAGACTCGTCTCATCGTCGCTGTCGTTTTCGCCGCCTTTGTCGCTGCCGCCTTCACTCGATAATTGCGCGGCCGGATAGTTGTTGGCTGTCTCGGTCAACGCCGTCAGTGTAACGCGGTCAGGGTTGTGGCTGGCTGCTGGGCTGTACGGCATCAGGGGGAACGAGGCGAACCTGTGAACCTAAAGAGTCCATAATAGAGGTTTTGGGTTAGATCGCGTAAATATATAAATGTGTCGTAAAAATCCGCCACCACCCGACACAGCCAACTAGTAAGGGTTGTCACGTAAACAGAACATGCCAATTCGTCACTAGTACAGCACACCGGTGTGTTGGAGAGCCAAGCCACAACATTTACAATCAGAGTATAACGTTTCGCCAGTAATTACAACTAGCTTCATCAGGCGACAGCCAGATTTGTGGAGAAGTCTTCCTGTTTCGTTCCTTATACAGAGGCGTAGATGTGTTGACCACGCAGCTGCGCTCTTGCACAATGTACACAATATGTTTTGTCGTTGTGCAATCTAGATACGGAATTGTAATTCGATCTCCCATTGAAACATTGGGAAATGTCTAAATTTCCTCTCTGTCCACCGAACAGTATAAATGGGTTACACAAACAGTCGATTGGCTGGGAGTGTGTGGTGAGGTAGAGTGTGGGCAATCCCACCTCTGCCAAGACGTCTGGCCTGTGTGGAGAGGGACAAGTAATTACAGGGCTGCACCTTAATCTTGTTTTACAGTTCGTCGCACGTAACATGAGATTGCTGTGCCACTTCCATTGTCAGTCACATCGATCATATACAGTATGTACATTGCATCGCTGCGTAAACATTCTACACATTAATTGTGCTACTGCAGCAGATTGTGAATAGTGGCCTACTGGACATGTGAATAACAGCTTCATAGCTCATCGGATTCCTCCAGTATGAATATTGATTCTGATTTTACGCTTCACAGGCATTGGGATGTGGTTTTTGTGTAAGGTAAAGTGTGATTTGTGCTGTACCGAGGGCATACTCTGCAAGACTGATAAAGGGACCTATGGAAATGCACGTTTTATACAGTAGTGTACGGTACTGTACTTAATTGACGGGGAAGTGGCACGATTTTGAAGATGAAATGTCGACATCCATTATTCATGAGCACATCTGTATATGTTAAATGGAAACCACTTCAATATGAGCAGGACTTAATTTAGGTATCGTGCCCCTGGGACACCCGAGCAGAAAAAGGGCTCCTACCACGATCTCCTCACCTTCCCTTGTTCATAACATAGGCACACTGTACACACAAGCACCCCAATCCCTCACAGCCAGGACACACTCCAAAAGCATAAACAACAAACGACAGTACCCACATTTTTCTAAAGATCGGAATGTTTCAACTTCATCCACCGCACTGCATTGCACTTGATACGCTTTTTTCATCATAATTTGCTCAAGTCTTCATTGAACCGCGTTAAAAAATGCTTTGATCACAGAATCCTATAAATACCCTCAACATTGCGGTTATAACGTACACGTAGTATGCAGCGATAGGGTTCTCTATAACGGGAATCTAGTTTTGTTTACTTCTCGGACAAGCTCGGTCGGGTTGAATGACGAGTGCACGAGTCGCGATAAAGCTCAGCTTAAAAGCTTTCACCTTCCAATAAAACCCATCACATTCGTCAATAGCACTGCCTAAATGAGACGCAGTATGTACGTAGTAGTAATAGGTGACGTTTCGGGCAATGGCCCTTCTTGGGGTCTTCAAATTTGCAACTTTCATCTTTGTGGACGAACATAAACTCCCTGCCCCTGTTCTAATCTAATCTTAAGACGTGTCGCTCCTCTTCTGCCTTGGCTACACTATATCTCTTCCATAGAATATAGACAATAATTACTTTACTGTGTATGCATGAATCGATATATTTTTTTCCCCAGAAGTTAACGTTACACGATGCGCATGTCACACATTTTTTTTGTACAGGCATCTTGAGATGCAGTTGTATAATTAGACTCTGAATAAATACAATCTAATTGTATTTCAATGAAAAGGTTTGCTCTCCAAAAGACTATTCGACACGAAAAGGTAGCGCAGTCGGGAGCACAGGTGGTTCACCTTGCCACAGTCATTTTAGTGAGTTAACGCAGCATAGCTGTCAACCCCTTATCAGTGCCCTACCTTATTACAGATCAATTCAGACCTTATTGGTCACCCTTTTCCCCTAAAACATCTCAACGTTCATCTGACAAAGTCCCATCGCAAGGGAGAAACACAAACAAATAGACAAAAAACATTTGCCCGTATTGAAAAGGCTATACGCCGTATGGACCTGAAAACTCAACATAAGATGAAGCTACCCCAATGACCAGCATGGCATGAGGAAGCCTTCATCCATTCGTGGATTGACAAAAGTTAGGTTCTTTTTTAACCCTAACCCTGGGATGAATTGTAGAGGTTTGTCCTCTATATACGTATATAGGTGGTTTTGGTGTCATTTATTGAAGATGCGTGCAGGAGAGAATGGACAACTTTGCATCGTTAGAAAGTCAGTGATTGCCACCATAAATAAAGTGCTGTTGTAAGAACATACAGTACAGCAAATATTTGTGGCATACAGGAGGGAAGTGGGCCACCGATAAGCATGCTCTACGGTAGTAGCATATGAGCTTGCATCCTGTTTAATATATCAAATATCCAAAACTCTTTTTTGTGTTTATGAAGTAATAGAGTTAAAATATCGTGCAACTTTCCATTGTGCGATGAGCACAAATCACACGGTAATGGATTTGGCTAAAATGCCTCTGCAGGGGGGGTTGGGGTAGATAAATTAACATGTCAATGACAGAGTTGTGTGGAAATCCTCCCCGTAGCGGCCGGAGGAGAGAAAATGGACCTATAAACAAACAAGCATGGCAAAATTTATAGAGAGAAATAGGAAGTTTGAGAAAACAAACTTAGTAAAATTTGGAAGTGTAATGCAATGCAACACAGAGAGTCGGTTAACACACATTTAACGCATAGCCTGGTTGATTACGTTCTACCAAAGATTGCTAAATTAGAAGTTAAGTGTGAGTTGTGTGGAAATACTCCCCATATAAGTAGTTCAAACTAGATTTGAAGCTTTCGTGACTGCAGGAATTACTCTTTGGTTCTTTCGGTAAAGTCTTCCCCCCCTCTCTCTCTGCCCCCCCCCCCTCTCTCTATTTAAGGCCTCGACACGGGCGTTGTTTCTCTGTGTGTCTATGTGTGTGTCTCTCTGCTTGTGTGTCTATGTCTCCGTGTCTCTGTTTTGTCTCTCTCTTTGAAATTGATCCATCTTTGGAAGAACGTAATCAACTAGGTAGGGTGTTGACTGGTGTGTTAGCCGACTCTCTGTGTTATATTGCATTACAAGTTTACTAGGTTTGTTTTCTCATTCATTCCTACCTGATGACGGTTGCTTGTGTTGCAATCAAAACGTCGTATTCTATTATTTAATTTATTTTCTTTCTACTTGACTTTACCGAAAGAATCAAAGAGTAATTCCTGCAGTCACGAAAGCTTCAAATCAAGTTTTATACACACATCCTTTAGTAAAAAATGCTTCACTTGCTTGTGCCATAACATTTGAGAACGTACACGACTGTATATGTATAAACAATGTCAGCACCAACTTAAAACATTGCATTCGTCCTTGATTAACTTAATGTCAAGTTGGCAACACATCTGAAGATATGTACACTCTGTGTGGAGTAGATCTCTTTTCAATGTTCATAGTCAGGGTGCTGCGGTGGTGAGATGTTTTTTTCCGTTGCCTAGTATGCAGGTCAGTCGGTCGATCCTAACCCTGACGCCTGGATATTTGGAGTTTGCATGTTCTCCCCGTGGTCGCGTCGAATTTTCTATGGTTTTTCCGGTTTTTCCCACCATGTTTAGAATCAACGTGCATTGAAGAGTATACTGCTGCTATAAATTTCATTGAGCTATCATTTGTGACCAGGTCACTTCTGAAAAAGTGCTAATAGCTCAGTGGGCTTTATCTGGTAAAAAATAGTTTGGTTTCATAACAATGTCGCAATATCCTATAGCCAGGACAGCCTCACTGAGTCTCAACACTCTTTTTCAGGACGCTCCTACATTAGGATGGAGGAACAATGCCAATAAATGAGTTTCAATAATTATTATTGTGCTTGTTTACCCAGAAAAGGCCCACTGAGTCTCAAGAATTGTTAACTTTGTTGCAGTTGGGTCGATGTTGCTATTTTGCCTAATCCAATTTAATAATTTACAGATTATGTTTTAGCATTGGAATGTTGACCAATACCAGTTACATTGCATGATTTTTTGAGCTATGGGAGGAAATTGTCAAACCCAGAGAAAACCCATGCAGAATGGGGGAGTGAACATGCAAACTCCACACAGAAAGGCACCCGAGTCGGGCATCGAACCCAAGGCCCCCTGTTGCTGCGAGGCACACGTGTTGAGACTGTCCTGCCGCCCAGTGCAATAGCATACGCCAATGGAAATCTCCGTACCTTCCCTGAGCTGCTGTGGCGTTTTCCGAACATACAGATGGAGAAGAAGTATCTCGTCGGCTGCGTGAGAAAGTTCACGGGAAGGTGTCCAGCGAGAAAGCGGCTGCCCTCATGCTGCGCTTCCAGATGCAGGTATGAGAGCGTGGCCAAGTACATCGTCCTGGCCATGGACAGAGAAGGTGAGGAACGCATGAGTCATGCTCAGACGCACACCTGGCTGGCAAACACACTCATGTGGTATAAAATTAAACTAACCTATTAACCCCTTTCCCATTCGAGGACATATGTGTACGTCATGACAGAGAAACCAGAAGTAAAAATAAAATATCTTTATCGGTTCTGAGGCTCCACAAGGCCACGCGGGAGGGCGTGTGGCACAGTTGGCGTCAGCTGTCATAGAGTTGCGGTCGTATATCTACAGTTCTCTGCAGTGAGTACAATGTATTTAAAAACAACCATGCTATGCCTCTCTAAATAAATTAACGCTTGACCGCTTGCGCGTTCCGATATTCAGATGTAAATGAGACACCCTCCCTGCAACCTTGCAGATATCTTGGAATGCAAAATACCCACTGAGCTACAGTGAGGGAAAGAGTATTTGATCCCTTGCTGATTTTGTACGTTTGCCCACTGACAAAAAATGATCAGTCTATAATTTTAATGGTAGGTTTATATTTGAACAGTGAGAGACAGAATAACATCAAAAAATCCAGAAAAACGAATGTCAAAAAATGTTATAAATTGATTTGCATTTTAATGAGGGAAATAAGTATTGATCCTCTCTCAATCAGATTTGTGGGGCTCCCAGGTGTCTTTTACACAGGAAAACAAGCTGAGATTAGGAGCACACTCTTAAAGGAGTGATCCTAATCTCAGCTTGTTACCTGTATAAAAGACACCTGTTCACAGAAGCAATCAATCAATCAGATTCCAAACTCTCCACCATGGCCAAGACCAAGAACCTCTCCAAGGATGTCAGGGACAATATTGTAGACCTACACAAGGCTGGAATGGGCTACAAGACCATCGCCAAGCAGCTTGGTGAGAAGGTGACAACAATCAATCCTAATCAAAGGAGACCTGATGGTCAATGAGCCACTCTGTCTACAGGAAGCCACCCATACGGATGCTTATCTAAAACCGGATTCCCACCACCATCCATCCCAGAAGAATTCCCTCATCAAGACTCTATATCATAGAGCCCAATGCATCTCCGACCATGAACACATTGCCAGTGAACTCAAACACGTACGCCAAGCTCTTAAGGCTAATGGTTACTCCGACTACACATCCGCAAAGCCATCACTCCATCCATCAAGAAGGATCCTGTTGAGGAGCCTTTCAAGACCATCACCTTACCCTACATTGCTGGGGTCACAAAAAAGATCTCCAAATCCTGATAAACACAAGATCCTTTGTACTGCTAATCCCTGCACCCCCCCTTGGTGCTGCTGATCCTGCATAATGCATGGGCATAATATGACTTTGAACCCCCCCGCCCAACGCCTACGCATTTCCATGAATATGCTAAATTCCTCTTCATATGCACATTCTTTTGTTAAGGCGCTCTTCCACCTTCAACGCAGCTTATATTATAAGCTCCTAGTTTGGTAGTGTCTCATTCTTCACCTGAAGACGGCTGCTTGCGTTGTAGCCGAAACGTCGTGAGAATTATTTATTTATTATGTTTTATTTTTATTATTTTATTACTTCCCTTCTACGTGACTTTACCGAAAGAACCCAAGAAGGTGACAACAGTTGGTGCGATTATTCGCCAAATGGGAAGAAACACAAAAGAACTGTAAATCTCCCTCGGCCTGAGGCTTTATGCAAAATCTCACCTCGTGGAGTTGCAATGATCATGAGAACGGTGAGGATCAGCCAGAACTACACGGGAGGATCTTATCAATGATCTCAAGGCAGCTGGGACCATAGTCACCAGACAACAGTTGGTAACACACTACGCCGTGAAGGACTGAAATCCTGCGGCGCCCGCAAGGTCCCCCTGCTCAAGAAAGCACATTTACATGCCCGTCTGAAGTTTGCCAATGAACATCTGAATGATTCGGAGGACAACTGGTTGAAAGTGTTGTGGTCAGATGAGACCAAAATGGAGCTCTTTGGCATCAACTCAACTCACCGTGTTTGGAGGAGGAGGAATGCTGCCTATGACCCCGAGAACACCATCCCCACCGTCAACATGGAGGTGGAAACATTATGCTTTGGGGGTGTTTTTCTGCTAAGGGGACAGGACAACTTCACCGCATCAAGGAATGATGGACGGGGCCATGTACTGTCAAATCTTGGGTGAGACCTCCTTCCCTCAGCCAGGGCATTGAAAATGGGTCGTGGATGGGTATTCCAGCATGACAATGACCCAAAACACCAGCCAAGGCAACAAAGGAGTGGCTCAAAAAGAAGCACATTAAGGTCCTGGAGTGGCTTAGCCAGTCTCCAGACCTTAATCCCATAGAAAATCTGTGGAGGGAGCTGCAGGTCGAGTTGCCAAACGTCAGCCTCGAAACCTTAATGACTTGGAGAAGATCTGCAAAGAGGAGTGGGACAAAATCCCTCCTGAGATGTATGACCTCTGTGATTGCCAACAAGGGTTTTTGCCACCAAGTACTAAGTCATGTTTTGCAGAGGGGTCAAATACTTATTTCCCTCATTAAAATGCAAATCAATTTATAACATTTTTGACATGCGTTTTTCTGAATTTTTTTTTGTTATTCTGTCTCTCACTGTTCAAATAAACCTACCATTAAAATTATAGACTGATCATTTCTTTGTCAGTGGGCAAACGTACAAAATCAGCAGGGGATCAATACTTTTTTCCCTCACTGTATATAACTCTTTTTCAGAAGTGACCAGGCCACAAATGATAGCTCACGAAGTGGCTTATCATGTGGAAATTTATAGCAGCCAAATACTTGAAATGCCTGTTTATTCTAAATGTGGAGGGAAAAACCGGAGGTGCTGAAGAAAATCCACATGACCACGGGGAAAACATGCAAACTCCAAATATACAGGTGTCAGGGTTGGGATCGAACCCACAATCTCCTGTAAACTGCTCACAGTTCTGCATATATACACATTATTTTACATTATTCATGCTATGCTTAACTGCAGGTTATTCATATTGCCCATACAATGCATTCAATGCATGATATGACACAAATTATTCTTAATAACCATTGCACAGCATTACAATTCTATTTGAAGCTTCCGTGACTGCAGGAATTACTCTTTGGTTCTTTCTTTACAGATTGCACACGAATGGATGCAATGAATATCACGTCGTGGTCTGCTTTTTGCTTGCAAATTTCAGATTTACTGCAACACACCCGTCCTTGGATGGGCAAAAGGCTAGTTTATGTTTAATTTTAAAGCAGTGTGATGGACGAATTATGTTGATACTCTTCGGTTTTTTCGGTAAAGTCACGTAGGTAAAAAAAATTAATGAAATCAACTAAATTAAATCACGACGTTTCGGAGGCAACACAAGCTTCCGTTTTCAGGTGGAACCGTTACAGCCAAAGTCGCTGTAGTAAGTGAAGCGAGCTAATAGAGAGACGCGGCTATATTGGGTAAGAGGGGGGGGAGCCAAGGTAGGGGGGGGCATTGGGGGGAGGGGGATGCTTGCCTGAAGGTAAGCCGATTGATAACATTTATTCATGGGGTACCATGATGTTGAGTTTATTGTTAATTGTGCTTGCCCACCACTATCAAAGTAGCATCGCCAAATCATTCGTTCTACGATGATGGAGCAGTCTTGGCTAAATCACGGTCACCAGCACATGGCAGATGGAATGATGAGACCTCCAAAGAGGCAAACTCTGATGATCACCGTGCCTGCGATGGTTTGATTGGGATAATAGGCACAGCAAGATATGCAGGTGCATGTTCCTGCACTTTCCCTCATCATTTACAGTGGTAGGACCCGTCGCTTAGCAGCCTATTGAGATGCACATAAACAACGTTATACACATTGTAAATTACAATATATATAATTAATATGACTGTTGTGCTCAGACTTGCAGATGAATGAAAGAGACAGGCAGCTCCTCAACAACCCATCCATACAGGTAAGGGCTGAGGATAAAATACCTAATTCATACAAATACGAGATGTGGTGACACACGCCTGTGACTTGGAGGTGGAGTTTGTGGATCACACCAAGATGGAGCCATTGGGTACATGAGACACCTACCTGTAGAGTAATACGACAGCACCTATAATTATATGTTTAAATCCATCAGCTTATGGGCTTTTTGTTTTAGAGTCCAGCAGTATTTGTTAAAGAAAAATTTAATAATGTGGGTTGCCAAATGTTATTGGAAAGTGCCCTGCACCTTCAGAATGGACTTTTTCTAGTGCTACAAAGCAATGCTGTGTTGTATAGAACTGACTAGGGGGCTATGGTGGTGAGATGTTAACTACCTCGCCTGGTATACAGGAGGTCGTGGGTTCGATCCTGACCCTGATGCCTGTATATTAGTAGTTTGCATGTTCTCCCCGTTGTCGCGTGGATTTTTCTCCGAGCCCTCCGGTTTTCCCCTCCACATTTAGAAACATGCGTTTTATAGTATTCGGCTATGATACATTTCCACGTGATGAGCCACTTCGTTGAGCTATCATTTGTGACCAGGTCTCTTCTGAAAAAGAGCTACATTTCTCAGTGGGCCTTACCTGGTTAAATACAAATACATTACAATAGTTAAGAATTAAACCACACACCATTGTGGAACATTGTACATGCATCGCCGTTTTTTGTCAAGTACACCACTAGCCAAAGCCTCTCCACAAGTTGAAGTCCATGAATCATATTCGATCATACCTCACCGCTCTGGTCACTGTGGATTGGATAAGGTGCACTGCCCTCTACTGTCGACAGCGTATAGTACAGTGTCCTTGGGCCATGGATATCACCCATCCAAGCACTATCCAGGCTCAGCTGAGATTTGATGAGATCTGGTAATTTTTTTCTGTGGAGCATTATGGGTAATAATAACAAATATGCCTTTGTTGTGTCTGTCCACATGAAATTATTTTGGGACATCAATCTCAGAACCTTCCAGACTGTCATCCAGCAGCATTTTTTAAAGCAAGCAAACTCATGTACCATCGAGTTGATTTCAAATATGTGGATGTTTTACGTTTCAACACTGCAATATACAGGGTGTTTATAAAATATGGACCCCGATTTGAAATCGCTATATCTCTGCAACCATGAACCGCCCATGAATGAAACTCTTACCACTTGAAAGGGCAGGGCATAGAGTTTCAAATGATTACTGCTAGATGCCTCTTTCAGTGCACAAACAGCCCCTAGCCTCAATCATTTGCAAGATAGCGACCCCGCAACACAAGGCATTTTACGTTCTGCAGTTCAGCAAACCTGAATCCGTAATTGCAGTGCAGCGTGCGTTTCAGCGGTGTTTTGGCATTGATCCGCCAATATCAAAGAGCATTCGTTGTTGGTACCGACAATTTGAGGAAACAGGTTGTTTATGTAAGGGGAAGAGCACAGGGCGACCACGCACCTCAGAGGAAAACGTGAGAAGAATTCAAGAGAGTTTTCTGCGTAGCCCGCGCAACTCCACTCGTTGTGCCAGCCGAAAACTTGCGATCCCTCATACGACTGTCTGGCGTGTGTTAAGGCAATGTTTAATCAAGAGGCCATACCAGTTGCAAATGGTACAGGCTCTTCGCGCAGGTGACAAAGGAAAGCATGTAGATTTAGTGATGCGATGTTACAGAACATGGAGGACGACAGCTTCTTACCGTGTTTGATTTTTAGTGATGAAGCAACGTTTCATCTAAGCGGTAAAGTTAACGGTCACGATGTGCGCATATGGGGATTAGAGAATCCACACGAAACTGTAGAGCATGAGCGTAGTTCCCCGAAAGTGAACGTGTTTTGTGCTGTTTCTCAAAGAAAGGTTTATGGCCCTTTCTTTTTCGAGGGAAACACAATTACGGGGTAAGCGTATCTCGAAATGCTGCAGAAATGGCTCTTTCCACAACTTGATGAAGATTCCGACGTTTTCTAAATGACACACTGCCTCAACATTGGATAGGTCGTATGGGACCCAAAGACTTGGCGCTACACTCTTGGCCCCCAAGATCCCCAGACATCACACCCTGCAACTTTTTCTTGTGAGGATACGTCAAAGACCGTGTTTTTGTGCCACCATTAGCGACTAATCTGGATGACCTTTTTGTGTAATTGTAACATGTTGCCATCGTGAAATATACTGCTTTGAAATTGGGTCCATAATTTTGAAACACCCTGTATTAGTCGGTTTTCTGAGACAACATACTTTACTTCTGGACTTGTATCGGTCCATTAGAATGCAATACTGGACATTGAAACTGTTTGACATTGGCAAAAAAAGAGGTGGCCAGGTGACTCAGTGGCCTAATTACCAGCAGCGCCCTGAGCAAATACAATTTGGATGTGGTGAGTAATTGTGCTCAATTCAAATTGTATCCATGCTCAAGTGAGCATTGGGTGCATTCATCTTTTATCGACGGTCCCTTGCCAGTGTTGGAAGTTTAACATTCCTTGGCCAGGCCAGTCTCCCCATGTGATGACTACCATAAAAAATAAGAATGGGTTTTATCCTTTGTGGCAAAAAACAGTTGTTAAGATGTTCAAACACCAAATAGATACCTTTTACAAGGCATCAGGTCTGTATTGACCACATGTACTTGTGGTGAACATGCAAACAAACTTTCTCTGATAATATATGCATTGTCCTTGAAACTGATTGGCCTACACCAGAGACAGCCTTCCTTATGGAATCGTCTCACCAGTGTCAGACCAGAGAATGCCAAAAGGCAGACAGTACAAAGAAAATGCACGTATGAGAGCATTCATAGCTCGGGGTGAGTAGCTATATCATGAGACCTTTTTGCCAGTAAAAAAAGTATGCAAAATAAGAATAGGTTTTATCCTTTATTGTCAGGTTTTACCCTTTATTGCCAGAAAAGGTAAAACCTCTTATTATTCATACTTTGATACTGACAAAAAGGTCCCATGATATGATGACTACTGTTGACTTCCACACTATGATACGAATGTTTATCCATCTGGGAGGAATACTGGGCTGAGTCAGCCCTTGACCCGTTGTTTGTTATTCTTTCAGAACATTATGCGTCGGATACGGATGAATGTCCCGCTGCCACCAGAGCCCAGGCAAAGGGATCCCATGCAGGATTTCGACGTTCAGGTTGTTAATTACATCACTGTGGAAAGTCGACTCCAGCGGCACATGGCCGTGGCATATAATGAATAGCTTTGAGATGATCTGTGCCAACATATAACACGTTAAACAAGTCAATCTAGCATGAAAATGGACACTTAATTAATAATGTGAAGAGCCCAGTCGCTGTGGCAAACATTATAAAAGCACAATTAGAAGATAAGTTGTAAAAGAAGCAAAAATATATAAACGGTGACGATTTTTTTTTTAAATGTAGGAATGTCAATACATATGTTGGCATAAATGTAGGCTTTGTAAAACAAAACTACACTTTCATAAAAATGTAAGGTTTCTTTCATGAAATTTTGGCACAGATGTTAACTACCTCGCCTGGTATACAGGAGTCGTGGGTTCAATCCCGATACTGACGCGTTCATATTTGGAGTTTGGATGTTCTCCCGTGGATTTTTTTCTCCGGGTCCTCCGGTTTTTCTCTCCACCTTTAGAAACATTGGTTTAGATTATTTGGCTTCTATAAATTTACATGTGATAAGCCACTTCGTTGAGCTATCATTTGTGGCCAGGTTGCTTCTGAAAAATATCTATATAGCTCAGTGGGCCTTTTTTGGAAAAAAAAATGTGTTTAGTTGGATTGTACCAGAGCAGATAGAATTTCCCTAACTAAACTCATGCAGCCACTGAATTTGTTTCGTCAGGATTGCATCTGTTCAAATGTGTTTCACCTATGTAGGCGGCAGCCAACGGGCTACGCGTGCTGGAGCTGACCGAGCAGAACCTCAACATGTTCGAAAACTTGGCGAACAATGAGCTGCCGCACGATGACTGCCAGTTTGCGTGCAGCGTCTGCGACAGCGTGTGGTGGAGACGCGTGCCACAGCGGAAAATGGTCTGAACTTCAATCCCAGCACGAGACTAATCTGCACCATGCTTTAACCCGCCTGTAAATGTATGTATGTTGAACTTCTTTCGCACCGTACGTAACCAACCATGCTAATCGTAGATGCGGGGGAAGGACAACAAACTAAACACAAAAAGCAGTTTAAAAAAGAAAATTTAAATCGAGATGATTTAAGAGTGCATAGCTCCAGTGGCTTCCGTATATCATAAGCAAGAGCATTCCAGACGGTTGCAGAAGCGCATCTGAAAGCGTGTAATACAGTGACTGTATTTGTTCAATGGCTAGCCAAAAGCCACTGCGACGAAATCAGCAAGGTATTGTGGTTCATTTGTGGCAGGCACTTTGTGTGTAATGAGTGCAACTGCATCACCCCAATCTTCAGATCGCTTCACTGGCTGCCAAGCCACTGTCAGATCAGCTACAAGACTGCCCTCATTGTTTCAAGATCAATCATGAATTGATTCCCAATTGTCTTATTTGTCATCTTCTCCAGTAAATCTCTACCCACTCTGTTGATTCTTCTCCTTTGTTTCCTCCACTGTCTATAAGTAATTCCACCTGCCACCCACACTGCTCACTCTACTTCTGTTCTCAAATCTTTCATCGTCCCTGAACTAATTGTACCTTTTTTCCCTCATGTATTACACTGGTCAACACACTTTTTCTGGCATAAGGTATTCCCACGGTTTTAAGGTAATTTTGGGATGCTGATTCCAAATCTGGCATCAGTTTTTGTCTATCACATCAGGTTTTTGAGATATCAAATATTGCATTTTCAATCAAAACTGCAGAAGAAAAATATTAAATAAATGTGGATATCTACATAAAATAATATTATAAACACACTATCCTAAAAATACAGCACCATATTTTAACACTAAAGCAGTCACTGACTCGCAACAACTTGCAATCATAAGTGACATAGTTAATTTTGGGTAAAATCAATGAAAATGGGGTATGCTGATAGCATAAAAATGAGATGTGATAGAGCAAATCTGAGATCATATTTGGAATCAGCACCCTGAAATTAGTCTAAAACAGATGCAAAAAGTCCAGGCCAGAAAAAAATGTTTTTTTTGTTGACCAGTGTTATTTACTAGTCTTTCCCTCGAAGCCCATACCTTAGGTGAAAGCAAAGAGTGAGTGTGCAGTGGGTTGGAACGTTGTCTCATATAAATTAGCTTGAGTAGGATTTGCAGTTCCATTTATAACAGCGGTCGGGAACCTATGGCTCGCGAGCCATATATGGCTCTTCCAGTGACGGTATATGGCTCCCAGACAATTTTGAGTTGAAAAAAGAAAAAATAATAATAAAAAAATCAGTTTGGAACTGATTTTTAAACACTTGTCATATTGCTTAATAATACTGTGTCATTTTAAAGTAAACAGAAATTAGTTTTGAAGATAAATTTCACGGGTCACGCCTGCACGAAGCTCAACCTCACCACGTACGAACCAGACTACAAGGCCATCAGCAAAACCATGTAGCACCAGAAGTCGCATTAAAAGTAAGACATATTTAATTTATTATACGTTAAAAATACTATATGGCTCTCAATGAAATATATTTAGAAATATTTGGCTTTTATGGCTCTCCCAGTCAAAAAGGTTCCCGACCTCTGATTTATAAGGTTCTTGCCTCAGAAACACGCATCTTCCATCTCATCTCAATCATTCCAATACTTAACTTTATTTTTAGCCCAGGGGAGCCTCTGATGGCAGCTGTCCCCATATGGCACAAGGTGAACACACCCCCAAGCTGCAAGTGGGTAGTAGTTTGCCAGTTGCCGGCAATGTTTCTATGGGTTTTATCAATTGAGTAATTTGCAAATATTTGGATTTATTTGAACCATGACCCTAGTGCATGTGGCCTACTCTTTTTCCTAATCACGTCACGGGATTTGTCACATCCACTGTGGAGCATACAGCATATATTTTCTGGTAATACACCCACGGCATTAACCAGAGTGGCCACGGGGATGAATTGTGAACCTTCCAACGAGCGGAAAATGCGCCACCGCTCGGCAATGCCACCGCCCAACAACTTCTGTTGCTTCCACCGTTGCTGATCGGGGTGTGGATCATTCATTGTCTTTGCTGTGCAGGTGTCCCAGTGCAGGCGCTGCAAAAGGAAGTACCAGCCAGTGCCACGGGACAGGGAGTGGGGGAGTGGAGCGCTCTTCAACTGCACAAACTGCAATAACACCTTCAGGTTGTCGGCGATAAAAGGGACAGCTTTTATGTGTATTGATGCATTGATTCGCAAAGCTTACGCGAGTGTGCGTGTGTGCGCATGAGAACCGGTGTTTTATAAAAAATATATTATATCGTAATACGAGAGGAGCAAACCATTGAAAAGGATGTCACCACTCAAATACATTTGCATAGTGATGGAGAAAAAAAATGTGGGGGGGGGTGTGAAAGCAAACTGAGAGCAAATCGTTTAGAACTACAAAACTCGTGTTGAGGACAGATAGTGGCAGCAGTAAAGGAATGAAACGCATCTCAGAGAACATCTACTGCGGAGATGGAGTGACGACATCGGCTCGCGCACAGGTGCTAGTGCTCGGTGGATTATTCAATTGTGACAGATGGTGCATGCTTGGGGGAGGCCTTCATCCGGCAGTGGATTTAACATGGCTGCTGATGATGAGAATGAATTAAAAAAAAATAATGAGCGCAATGTATTGTGTATATGATTACGCTAGTAGTAAATATAGAGCACTAGCGGTAAGTACCCGGCGTTGCCTGGGCGAAAAAGACACACACACATCGACTTAGAAACACACACAGACATCGACGCACACACACAAACACATCGACTTACCCACACACACAGATATGGACTCACACACACATAAATCTACTTTAGATACACACACATGGAGTTACACGCACAAATCGACGTACACACATACAGCGACTCACACATACATACGTAGACTCTCACACATCGACCTAAGCACACATATGCACTTACACACACACATATCGACTAAGACAAACACACATGGACTTACACACACACATGGACCCACGCACACACATGGACTTACACACAACAACAACAACCGCCATTATCCACCCGGCGCTCCGCTCGTTGTTGTGAGCATCGATCCGGCTCAATGTCTTCCAGGATTTTCGTGTAGGCTTCTATTTGTACATCCATCAGCTTTGGTTAATTTTCCTAAATAAATTTAAGAAGCTCTAAAGCATAATAGCATATTTCACGTAGGATCTCTTGAGCAAGGGCATGCAGGTTGTCCCTGTAGGGTGTTGGTAGTCCCATATATGTGAGGTATATTCCATCAATGGAGTGCAGTTTGTCCTGAAGGAGGATGAGGGCCTGTTTAAAGATGACATCAGAAAGTTGACGTTGAGGTTTGTATTTTCTCATTGAGCTCTGTGGAGGATGTCCTCACTCATGCCCTCTTTGTATTTTTTCCAGAGTCCCATGGGGTTAGATGGTCTGCAAACTTGAAGATTTATGCAGAAGAGCAATGTCAGTTGGAAAGGGTACTGACCAACAGAAGCTTCTATCATAGCTTTATGAAGATGGTGATCATGCACAAGAATTGCACGAAAATTGAAAGCTTCCCTGTATGTTTGACAGACTACTCCTTCCACTGTTTAGAGGTCTTGGAAAGATTTGTGCCCTTTGGCAACATGGAGAAGCATTGGGAGAAAGTAGCACTGCTGATTGTTGGGATGAACTGTGTAGACTCGTCCTAAGGCATCAGATTGACCATCAGCAGCACGTTGCTTCCATTTATTTTAGCAGTCCATGTATAGTAGGAGGGAATGTAATGGTAGAGCAGGTTGGCAGCAAATGGGTCACTTGGGCACCAAACAAAAAAAGCCATAAGGGTGGTATATTGTGGAGCCAGGGTCTGCTGTTGGGCATTTCCTTTGGTGACATAGATGCGTTGAGCATTTTGGAGGTGAAGTGCCAAATGGACGACTGTGGGGGAACGGTCATGGATGGGGAAGCCAATAATTCTTCAAATTGCCTCATGGTTGCTGATGTATCTTCCTTGGAAAAACTGTTTTAGCTCATGCACACTTTGCCCCTCTGTTTTGTAAGGCAAAGACAGCCATGTCAGAGCCTTTGTTGATGTATTGGCAAAGATATTTGATGGTTTTTTTAAGAATAGCCGAATTTCACATTAAAGTGGAGCAGGAAGATCTTGCACAGAAGAGGGCAGTAGGGAGCGATCCATCGGTTGTGAACCTTAATTTGCGAGTTAGTGGCAGGTCTGAGCGTTGTTTGAAATCCACCATGCTCAGTATTTCTGTGATATAGAGGATAGCCATCATGGGCCGACTGAGTGTCTTTCAAGTAGTTCCGTGGATACCTCTTGGTACACCTGTGGTCTTGCATACATGGCGCATTTAGATAGAACTGGGCACATGGGCCATGGAGCATTTGATTGCAGACCACATAGAAAAGTGCAGGGTCTTAATGGGGGTGAGGTAGCTCAGCACTGATAAATGTGTCAATGTGACTGGCATGAATTGTTTCCCTCATCCATAGCGAAATGTGAGCATGAGGAAGACGACGTTTTTGCCACCCAACGGTGTGCAAGTTACTGCTTGTCTATCCAAAGATGCCGCCTTCATTGGTCGTAATAAGCATCATGAGGTCATAAACTTTGAGTTTTAAGAGCCTCGCTAAGATGTCATGTCTGTTTGGTGGTTTTTGGTTTGTATAAAGGTTAAACCTGGATCTCCTTTCATTTGGGATTGCAAGTGAAGGTGATGAAGATATGAGGCATGGCATATTGGCTGATGTACGTCATGGCATCGTGAGTTTTATCATGCATGCATCTTGGTGAAGCTGTGAAGGATGAAGGCAAAATAACTAATCAGCCCACATTGTGACCGTTTGCATCTCCTTCGGAATTGATGGCATCCCAGAGATGAGCATACTGTTCACCTGCAGGCGGTTTTGATTCAGTTGAATGTAAAGAAGGTGCTCACTGTCAATGTTGGCATTCTAATCGAAAACATACTGGTGAAAGAGGTTGGTGCACCATAATATGTGGTTTCCTCCTCTGTCCATGATCACGAAGGAATACAAGTTTTTTTAGAGGAGACAGTTTTGTGAGAATGTCTTTGTCCTACAGCTTTGTAATTGGAGGAATGTTGACATGGTACCCATCTTGGCCTTGTGACAGGAAAATGTGTTATTGTAGGGCATCGTATGCTCTGTTAGTGTCAGGAAATCGTGCCATGGTGTTTTCTTGGTATGGAAGAACAATGTCGCTTTCACAATGTTCCTCACCCACCGTAAGAAAGCAAGGTCAACAATATTTGGGGCATTGAACCTCCCTGCATGCTCCCCGCTTTGGTGGAAAGTAAAGGTGTAGTACGGCAAAATTTAAATGGGTGATGTTCCTACGAATGTGACAAAACAATATACGAAATGGAATGGGCTGTAGCTAAGAAAGTCCAACGTATTTAGCAGTATAACAGATTAATCAGCATCTCAGTACTATAGTGTGACGTGAGCAATCGAAACAATATAAAAGCATTGAAGAAATAAGCAGAAATTAGTGTACATTAAAGAGCAGCAGTATGCACAGGTAAGTTGAGAAGCAGGCTACAGTCTAGATTATAGACTGCCAGTATGTCGACTCAATGACCTAAGCATTGCTACAGTCGACATATAAAGCTAGCAATACGGTCAGCAGCTGAAAAAGCAGGATATAGTCGACATGAAAGGCTGGCAGTACACTGAGTATGGTAAAGAAGCAGGCAACAGATTATAGACTGGCATACTGACATGGACAAAAGCAAAATTAGCAGTGTAGATAATAGAGTGCCAGTGCACTGACATTAATTAATCGGCAGGCAGCAGGCCAGAGGACAGACTGGTAAATACACCGTCGCATCGTCATAAAAACACCTAAAAAATATTTAGCAACCTAATAATGAATTATTTTCTGCACACAAACATTATTGTAATATTTTGCAACTTATTAGTTTCATAATAGTAAACAATGAACTTGCGTTCTTAGCGAAAGATTCAATAAAATTGTACTTTACATTGCCGTGGTGAGGCCTAGTCCTGTGCAGAGCCTGCGGCTTCGCCTAGATTGCCCAGCCGGAGGAGGTGACACATTGCCAGGCTGGGTGCTGGGCCGCTCTCCGCACCCACGCAGCAATGATGCTATGTAAGCGCTATAATATTAATATCTACGGACTTTATATCAGTAATTGCACGCATTGGGGTGGGGGGGACATAAGACTGTGAAGAATGAACCTCAGCGTTGTGTGTATAGTTTTTAAGCATTGTTAACGTGAATGGAAATTCTTAGCGATCATGTGTGCGTTGCTAGGGGCAACTCCTGTCAGTGTTTCGAGAAATGCGCATTTGCGTGCTTTGTCTCGCGGTCGGTGGCAAAAATATATAAATAAAGAGAAATCACACAAAAACACAATTTTAACAAATTTAAAAGTGACGGACGGGAAATGGAAATAGCGCTTGCCCACCGCGGGGCTTACGTCGTGGTACCTGTCTAATTTTTTTCACATAAACCCCACCGTTTGAGAGCCAAATGCCTCGCAAGCGCGCGTGCGCAGACGGACAGACAGACAGACAAAAAAATACTTTTATAGGTTAGACTAGCGGGAAGTACCCGGTGTTGCCCGGGTGAAAAATATATTTCAAAACTTCTCTTAAAAACCTTACATATACAGTACATACACAGATACTAAGGTATTGTGAAAGCCCGGTGAGCCGTTTGTCCATTTCTCCACCAACAAAATTATAAGAAGCTTGCACAAGTCCAAAAAGTTATAGAAAGTGGGGGGTAAATAGTTGATCTAAAAGGTTTCCGAAAATTGCGACCACCACCCCCCACAAAAAAATATATTTACCCCCGCGTAGGGATATATACCTGCATACCCTACATACAACAGAGTAAGTAGTATCTATTTTTCGATTTAAAGCTTTCGTGACTGCAGGGATTAATATTCTTGGTTCTTTCGGTAAAGCCACGTAGAAGGGAAATAATAAAATAATAAAAATTAAACAATCAAATTCTCACGACGTTTCGGCCACAACGCAAGCAGCCGTCCTCACGTGAAGAACAGAGCTGTCGGAAAGACAGAATCCTAATAAACACTGCTGGCTGCTGCAGTTCTTTATTATTAAAATTTACCTTCCTTTATTACTGGTAATCCTACATAATACACGAGCATAATATGACTTTTAAACCCCCCACCGCCTACACATTCCACAAGGAGTGACTAAACCCATATCTGCATTTGTCATCAACATGCTAAATTCCTCTGTTGATATGTAAACTCCTTTGTCAAGGCGCTCTCCTCCTCCCACCCAGCTTAAAATACGCTGCCAAGTTTAGCAGTATTTATTAGGATGCTGTCTTTCCGACAGCTCTGTTTTTCACCTGAGGACGGCTGCTTGCGTTGTGGCCGAAACGTCGTGAGAATTGTTATTTTTATTATTTTATTATTTCCCTTCTACGTGACTTTACCGAAAGAACCAAGAATAAGAAGTATCTGTTGACTCTGTAGTTGTATCTACTGACTGTACAGAAGTATCTACTGAGCCAGTAGTAGCTACTGACTGTATAGTAGTATTTACTGACTGTAGCAGTATTTACTGACCGTAGTGGTATATACTGACTGTTTTAGTATCTACTAATTCTATATAGCAGTATCTACCAACTCGATAGCAGTATCTACTATCACTACAGCAGTGCATACTGACTGTGGTGGTATCCTGATATTGCTACAGCAGTGCATATCCACTGTAGTGGTACCTGATTTCACTACAGCAATGCCTACCGACTGTGGTGGTACCTGCTTTCACTACAGCAGTGCATACCGACTGTGGTGGTACCTGCTATCACTACAGCAGTGCATACCGACTGTGGTGGTACCTGCTATGACTACAGAAGTGCATACTGACTGGTGGTACCTGCTATTAAAGCAGTGCATACTGACTGTGGTGGTAACTGCTGTGATTACAGCAGTGCATACTGTGGTTGTACCTGCTTTCACTGCAGTACTGCATACCGACTGTGGTGGTTCCTGCTATCACTACAACAGTGCATACTGACTGCAGGTGGTGCCTGCTTTCACTACAGCAGTGCATACTGACTGTGGTGGTACCTGCCTTGACCACAGCAGTGCATACCGACTTTGGTGGTACCTGCTTTCACTACAGCAGTGCATACCAACTATGGTGGAACCTACTTTCACTACAGCAGTGCATACTGACAGTGGCGGTCGCTGCAATGATTACAGCAGTGCATATGTTGTGGGACCTGCTATGATTACAGCAGTGCATACTGTGGTGGTACCTGCTATGATTACAGCAGTGCATACTGACTGTGGTGGTACCTGCTACCACTACAGTAATACATGCTGACTCTATAGCCGGATATATCGACTCTATAGCAGAAAGTACTCACCTGACAGAGTGGCGTGGTGAGGCCTAGTCCCGTGCAGAGCCCCCGACCTCGCCTAGATTGCCCAGCCGGCAGAGGCTGGGGGCTGGGCCGCTACCCCCCCACCATCCTCCCGCTTGCGCTACAATCATACTATCTAAGCGCTATAATATTAGTATCTACCGACCCTATAGTATTAAGTGCACACATTGGGGTGGGGGGGAGAGAAGAGGACATGACACTTTGATGAATTTAAATCAGCGTTGCGTGTATTTTTTGTAGCATTTTGAACGCAGGGATTCATCTTCTTGGTTCTTTCTACGTGACTTTACCGAAAGAACCAAGAAGATGAATCCCTGCAGTCACGAAAGCTTTAAATCAAAATTCAACCGCCTCTACGGGGAGGGTTTCCACATAACTTTGAGATCCTTTCAAATTCCTTTGTCAATGCGCCCAGCTTATATATATGCTCCAAGCTCATGTGCTGTTTCATTCAGACTCTGTCGCCTCGACGGACCTGGTTTTCACCTGAGGACGGCTGCTTGCGTTGTGGCCGAAACGTCGTGAGAATAATTTTATTATTATTTTATTACTTCCCTTCTACGTGACTTTACCGAAAGAACCAAGAAGATGAATCCCTGCAGTCACGAAAGCTTTAAATCAAAATTCATGTGTTTCTGCTTGTTTGTGAGCAGCGGCTGGGGACAGATGGGCGTGCCATCGCCGTGCTACCAGTGCCAGGTCGGCGTGTGCCCCACGCGCGTGCAGCGCCCCAAAACGCACAGTGCCGCGCGCCCTTCCGGGCAGCAGCACAGCTGCATGGCCGAGGACTGCTACAACCGCCAGGGTGAGCGCAGCCGGAGGGCCACAACGCCACTCCGTCGCCTCTCACGAGCCGCTAGCATTTATAAGCGACGATCGAATCGAATTTGCTCTGTCTCGCAGACCCGCAGGAGTTTCGCGGGTGAAGGTGGGGGGGGGGGGGCGATCTTGCTGTGCATTTCTCCCAATGAGTGTTTTTTGCAGACAATTTCCAAAATTTTGACCGTGATGCCGGCATTCCCTCCCATCATCTCTTTCACAAGATCTTGTAACCTCGCTCAATGCAAGAAATATATTAATTATTTTTTTCTACTTCAGGAGTGATGTTTGTTGATGGCCGATGGGAATTGTGGGCCTGTGCTAAGCAACTGTGATATAAAAAAAGATTTGGGCAAGGCAGCATATTGGTCCGGGGGTAGTTACCGACAGCATCCCGATGAAGAAATTAACACTTAAGTAAAGCGTGTGAGTGAATCGACATAATTCTCTGATCCGTTCTCTATACCGCTATCGTTTTATCAGCATAATATAAACACAAACCTCACTTTAAAATATCACGACATGCATAAATAACCAACTCAATAAGTTTTGTTGCTGTAATTGTTTGGGTGGAGCAATACAGTAGCATTTAACACGTACCACTCATGAAAACTCCGTGACCCTAAGTTTAATTCTCAGCCAAGGTTAACATGAGCGACACTTAAACTAATCCTATTTAGTTTGTTGTCCAACCCCCGCACCCCCGATTAGCACGTGTTCTACGTACGGCGGGAAAGAAGTTATGATTATGACGACAAGTCTCGGCAGATGGTTGACATTGGATGACAATCATGAGAGACGGAGATTGGCTGCCTAATCATGGGGGTGGTGAGGACAGACGATAGGAATTGGCTGACGACGATGGCGGTGAGCATCTTTGTAATGATGGCAGTGGTGATAGAACTTCTTTCGCACCGTACGTGGCCAACCGTAGATGACTGCGATACGATGATGGTAGTGCGGCGAGAGGCTAACATCCGTGTGCTGTGTGCACCATGAACGCGCGTGGCAGGCCCCGGGGTTACCGGGACGCACTGTGTGCACCCGCGCACCTTGCAGGTGAGGCGCCGGCGGCGCGTGTTGCACGCGAGCGAGCCGCACATCAGCACCGCCTCCACGGTGGCCACGTGCATCAGCCAGGGCAGCCTCGTGGAGCACGAGGACGTCCTCATCGAGCAGGACCTCTTGGAGGAGGACGAGAATCGGCACCACTGACCGTGCCGCGAGCAGGGATCGAACACGAGTCGCGCGCGAGCCTCCTCCGCTCCTTTGCGTTGGGTCGTGTTTTTAACCCAACGATGATCCCTTGTTTATCGAAGATGGGGGTGGATGAACGGTGCGGTGGTTTTTGTCCATTGCGCTGTGAACCCAGCGAAGCAAGTTCGATCCCCGGCCACCACTAAAAAGCAGTGTGGAGTGGTATCTGAACTGGTCCTGGATGCCCCCTTTGTTAAACCGCACTGACAAGCTGAGTGGAGTATGGTCAAACATTCCTCGTGAACAACACTGCTTTACGATATTTGACCATTTTTTTGTGTCCCAAATTTTTATTCATAAAAAATATTTTATTCCACATCCTCCCTCGCATCATACATTGCACTATTTTGACACTCCGGGCACAATTCCAAGGGGCATCAAAGGTATCGGGCATACCGTACTTATCAGGGCAGGCAGGAGGTTTTTTTCCCCCTTTTTAAAGTGCTCTTTTAATTGTTTTGATTTAACCTTGTTTTGGACTTTTTGTGTTTATTCACATTATAAACAGTGATGTGCACGAGGTGAAAAATGTTCCGAAAAAAAAGTATTTGCAGTCGGCATGTGAGACGTGATAACAATGGCTCTTTCATGCATCATGCTATCGTGCTGTGTAGCCAGATGGAAATTCAGTAGGTACCTTGAAACACATACTCTTATACTCTTAGTTCTTTCGGTAAAGTCACGTAGGTAAAAAATGAAATTAAAATTAATAAAAATAAAACAATAAAAATCACGACGTTTCAGAGGCAACACAAGTCTCCGTCATCAGGTGGGACCGGCACAGCCAGATTTGCTGCATCAAGTGAAGGAGGGATTCAAGATGTAAGCTCTTAAGTACCAGTAATTGTTTCTGTGGGGTGGTTTATTTTAAATGTATCGGTTAGTGGGGGTCCACTGGCCAACTGGAGAGCATCTACTCTATACGCGACTAATCTATATGCTTGGATGTATGTTTGTTTCTTTCTATACTCTCCACGAAATTCAATGAACAAGGAGTCTTTTGAAAACTAAAGTAGTTTATATTATATTAAAACAATACAAATACTTTTTAAATTTCGATTCAAAGCTTTCGTGACTGCAGGGATTTATCTTCTTGGTTTTTTCGGTAAAGTCACGTAGAAGGGAAATAATAAATTAATAAAAATAAAACATAATAAAATAATTCTCACAACGCAAGCAGCCGTCCTCAGGTGAAGAACAGGTCTGTCGGAAAGACAGACGTCGTGAGAATTATTTTATTATGTTTTATTTTTATTATTTTATTATTTCCCTTCTACGTGACTTTACCGAAAAAACCAAGAAGATAAATACTTTTTACCTGATAAATCTGCTTAGCTGCTCTATCATTTACAATAGCTTGGCATGTGATGGCAAACTCTTGTAAATTCGTACAATGGATAGGGTTATAGAGGGCGGGGTGGCACAGAGAGCTGTTGAAACTTAATGGCTTCTCTTTAGTCTCCAATAAAACCACCTCCATAACAATGATCAACAACATCTATACAGCATATCTCAATGTAAAACCAAATACACTTGTATGTGCGTGTAGCGCAAGGACGTGCGGTCAGGGGAGACAGAGCCTCACCTGTTATACTCCAATGAAAATAGCTGTTACGAAAAAAAAGAATCGTCAAATAAAAAATTTCATTTTCCACTGATCTGTGTTATAAATGTCATTTCTGTACGATTACAATAATTTTTATAGTCAAAATCGCCAAATTTGCGAAGCTCCGCTGCAAATACAGGAAGAGACGAGAGGTGAGGCAGCGACGCGCTCAGCCTCCCCTCTGATTGTGCAACCCCTGTTCTGTAATGCTGCGTGTTTTCATAAGGCGAATTGGATATAATTCGATGAATGTATTAGGGAATACATTTTTATAACACGTATACGAGTGAACAGAACTACGTTACGCGAGTAGGAATAAGCAGTTGTAAGGCTACCTCGGTGTAGCATCACACAAGGTGGGATGCTGCTGGATGCTCTTGATGCTACCCACGCCTCAGGCTTTGTTCAGCCTGCGTACGCACATCAAGTGTTATCGCAGACCGTGGCTTACCCTATATTGTACAGAGTGCTTCAACATTTTTTTAACACTTATATGGGACTATCGTTTTTAAGGGAAAAAGAACGGATAATACACTGTAACATGATACAAATTTTTTATGTTAATAGCTTCAAAAAGTCAAAGAGTCTCCACTTGTTCGCCATCATTGTCAATACATGCCTGGAATCTTCTTCAGGTGTACTCCAGAGCCCGGAGGCGCATTTCTTGTGGTATTGTTGCAAATTCTCACAAGTATTAATATTTTTTTAAGCACCCTGTACATTATTTATTGTAACGCGATTTTCCAAAACGCGGTGTTCTTCAGGAACGCAACTACTGCGTTACAGGAGAGCAGACTGTATAATCATGCAGGGTCTCGAACTCAGGACACTGCTACATCTTCCATATCGTTCGTCTCCTGTCTTTATCTCTTCTGTCGTCTCACAATGATTTTATAGATAGGGAAGGGGTGGGGGTAAAATTATTTCTGCTCGGGGCCACCAAATAGGCCAGCACCACCACTGCCTGAATGTACCACGAGGAGGCGTTTCAAATCTTGCGCTCGCAGTCTCAGACTCGCATATTTGACATGCCCCTCAACCATCGCCCACAAACACCGCCTTGTTGTGAAAGAGCCAACGCAAGAAGATCCCTGGGTTTGATCTTCCACGAAGCTCATGGTCCACCCTAAACTGTATTCACTGCACAAACCACGGCAGTAGATTTGGATACCTGATGCACAAGTGGAAAATGAAAAACTCCCCAGTAGTGTGTGACTGTGGTCATCCAGAACAGACCGTACAGCATACACTGATGCAACGCCCGATCCACAAATACGAAAGAGACATCTCAGTGATGATGATACACTCCACTGCTCTTGGCGCGGTTGTCTGGCTTGACCACCTGAATGTGAGATTGCAGTTGTTGCTCTGCGTCTACATTAGCCATGCGAAAGAAGATGAAGACCCATCGCCCAGCTTGAGCGCAGGGTGGGGTCTAAATAAGGAATTCACCATAAAAACACATGGTTTCAATAAAACAAATCCATATGATCTCGCACATGCGTGTCAGCACAACGGCATATCAAACAGAATGTGACAATGAACTCACCTGCGAAATAGCAAACTCAAGGTATCCGTGTGCTACCGATTTTGTCTTTATAGTATTCGCTATTCATGGTTTCCTGCTGCAACAAAAACACGTTATAGCAATTGTTTTTACCTTTAGCAGGGTCCAATAGTTTGATTCCTGGCCATGGCTGACATCGGTGACAAGTGACATCTGAACAGATCCTGTACCCCCCCAACCCATACCGAGCAGCATGGTAAAGTATGGTCGAACAGCCCAAATGACCGACCAGAGGCGTAGCTTAGGGGGGGGGGGGGCAGGGGGGTACATATGTCCCCGGGCGCCAAGGTAAAAGGGCGCCAAAATGAGGCTTACAACGTTACATTATAACGTATTGCGGTGGGCGCGGCAGCCTGAAACTATTGCACAAATCTACACCTCAACCTAAAAGTTTATGTATCCAAGCCACACACAACCTACATGTCATGTAATTACATTTGGTACGCACGCCTATTAAGAACTTACATGGAAGAACGTTGCCGATCATTGCTACAACTCTGTGGGCTCTCATGAAATTGTCTTTTCCGAGACCAAGGTGCTCTGCAAACCTCCTGGCTACCATCAAAGGTTTGTACACGAAGCCATACAAATATACAAACACAGACATAATTTCAACCGTGATGATGGTTACAAACTGAGTAATCATTGGAAAGATGTGATTAACCATGCAAAAAAGATTTAACTACACTTATTTGGACCATCTTATTTGACAGACAACTATTACAGGCTATTGATAGACCGCCAGTCTTGTTATACCAGGTTTAGTTTTTTATTTTTCACACTTTTGTTATGTAGGCTAGGCGTAGTCACAAACCGTACCTCTCCATAACAAAGGCTCAGTCTTTTGTTATGCAGTCTATTCTTAGTCTTAAGCCTCACCTTACCATATGAATAAAAAGTGTGCCGTACTTGGCCCTTCCCCTCTTCAACCATTATATATACGGAGTGGTAGATCTTGTAATCTCTCATTTACTTGATACAGCTGTCGTGGCTGTGACGGTTCCACCTGAAGACGGAAGCTTGCGTTGCCTCCGAAACGTCGTGATTTTTATTTTATTTTACTTTTATAATTTTTTTACCTACGTGACTTTACCGAAAAAAACCTAAGAATATGGAAGAACGTCCCAAACAACAGACAGGCGCAGTCTTTCAGCCTTAGTCACTGGGCTGTTTTTTGGTGGCGGAAACTACGACGGCCTGAAACACGCTGGAGTGCACTATCAGAAGCTGTTAAAGTTATCTATGAAGGACTGGATGAACTGGTAGGGCTGCTAGATAAATTATCAGAGGACGTAACTATGACGCCTGAAACCAGAAGTAATGCAGAACAGTTACAGGCATGCGTATTCAATTTTAACTTCATGGTTTTATTACATTTCTGGAATTTCATTCTTGGAAAAAATGATCGTGTTCAGAAGCGCTTATAGGATCCTACTATGAATTTCAAGGAAGCAGCAACTGATCTTGAATTATTGGAGCATGAATTTGTCAAGCTTCGTGATGATTTGAGCCAAGTTGCTGCAGAAAACGCCAAAACAAGATGCACAGCCTGGGGGATCGATGTGGACAGAAGAATTAGGCGACGTCGGAAGATGCCAGGAGAACTGGCAAGAGATGCAGGACTTTCAGCAGAAGAAGAAATTGTGCGCGTTATGAAGAGCGTATTTGATCGACTTCAACAGGAGATGTCAACACGGTTTTTACGACTAAAAGACCTGAACACAAAATTTGGATTTCTGCTGGACGTCAAAACTCTTCTATCCGACACAGATGTCGATGCAATTCGTCGAAATTGCACAGATTTTAGACATTTCTATGACACCGACATCAATGGCCACGAACTTTTCACAGAAATTGGAGATTGCAAAATGCTGCTCAGTAACCGGAATGAAGTTCTACCAGAAACTCCTTTGGATCTTATTGGTTTTATTGTGTTTTATGGAGACGACATATTTCCGAATTTGCGAATTTCACTGAAAATTTAATTAACAATAGCAGTTTCAATTGCAAGCTGAGCGGTCGTTCAGCAAATTGAAACTTATTTTGTCGTCTTCTTGGTTCCTTCGGTAAAGTCAGACCTGGTCTTCACCTGAGGACGGCTGCTTGCGTTGTGGTCGAAACGTCGTGAGAATTATTTTATTATGTTAAATTTTTTATTATTTTTTTATTTCCCTTCTACGTGACTTTACCGAAAGAACCAAGAAGATGAATCCCTGCAGTCACGAAAGCTTTAAATCGAAAATTATTTTGTCGTATTTGCGTGCTTCAATGGGACAAAATCGTCTCAGCGATCTTGCTCTTCTTAGCGTTGAAAGAGAAACATTGGAAAAAACAGATTTTGATTACGTGATTGACCAGTTTGTGACAGTGAAATCAAGAAAAATGTATCTTTTGTAGACTATGTCAACCAGTCTATGACAGTGACTGATTGAGCCATGTAATATAATTTCTATACATTTGTTTCTTTAAATACAATGTTTCATTAAAATTTTAATTGTTATTCCTTATTCGATGTAATAGGAAAATGTGATTAAACGGGGGGGGGGGGGGGGGGGGCGCCAATTTTATAGTTCATCCCCGGGCGCAAAATATCCTAGCTACGCCTCTGTGACCGACACGGGAGGCCCTTGTACAGCAGTGGACTGGCAAATGAGCTGTAATGTTTGCAATTATAAATGAAAGCGTATTTTGCCATAAACTGAAAAATCTGAGTCTTGCTGCTCTAAACGAGCATGGGGTGAAATTCCATTCTGTATGCAGCTCTCAGCAAGGTGGTCAATATTCCACATTCTTTTGGGAGGGGAAACTCTATGGAACCACCACTTCTGCATTTCCACACAATAGATTTTATTTGATAAACTCCCGATCTTCAGTGTAGCATTCTAGCACAATGTCAGCAACGGTTTGTCCAGAATTACCAGTAAGCGAGGGCTAATCTGGTTTCCTGTACCATGTTAAATGGTCCATCCATTTAAGTGTAAACCTTAGATTCATCCATTCAATCAAATGCAATATTGTAATTGGTATCTATCAGATGCAATACAATGCAATTCAACCACATCCCAAGACTCTGTAAGGAAAAAATTGGAATATTTTATCGAGGCAGTCTATAAAAACTAAAACTATAAACTTATACCAGGTGAGGCCCACTGAGCTATGTAGCTCTCTTTCAGAAGAGACCTGGCTCAGGTGTTTCACAATATTACGTGTTACTCTTGTTCAAGAGAAATACAATTACAAGATGTTACCTCAAGTGTCTGCCGTCTGGGATGGTTGCTCTGTATGCTGTCGATTGGCTGCGGTTTGTTATGATTTTATCCATCAGTGTTCAATACTCACGTGGGTCTCTTTCTTTTGACATATGATGGTGCTGTTTGTTGCAGGACGCTTGGCGTTTTTAGGACTATGCACAGATCAACTTGATTATTTTGATTGTGTGGAATACCCTCCATATTTGCAATTAATCAATTATATT